TTTTTATAAATTTGTTTACTTATTTTTGAGAGGGAGAGAGGGACAGAGTGCAAGCAGGGGAGGGGCAGGGAGAGAGGGAGACACAGAATCCCAAGCAGGCTCCAGGCTCCAAGCTGTCAGCCCAGAGCCCGATGCAGGGCTGGAACCCATGAACCACAAGATCATGACCTGATCAAGCCAACGCTTAATCAACTGAGCCACCCAGGCGCCCCCAAGACTTTATTTTTAAGTAACCTCTATGCCCAACACGGGGCTTGAATCCACGACCTTGAGATCGAGAGTCATGCACTCCATCGACTGAACCAGCCAGGCACCCCAAATTCTTAGTGTTCTTAATCATTCCGGAGGATAATAGTTATCTTCTTGGACATAGTATCTTAGTCTGTCCCCACAAGAGCCCTGCAAGATGACTATGTTACGCCCACTTTATAGATAAGGAAGCTAAGACCCAGGGAGGTGAAAGAGCTTGACTAGGAAGAAACACCCCCACACTCTGTTCAGGTCACACCTACCAGGGGTTCATTCTGCAACAGGCTCCATTCTTCTTAACGGTTCTTCTGTGCTTTTCATCACCTGATCCAAGGGTTACAGGAACAGAGCACAGGGATGTTTGCCTGAAAATCCCAGGTCCCGATCCCTAATGCCCAGCCCCGAACAGCAGAGGAAACCCTTAACAGTCAGGCAAGCCAGAGAGCTTTAAAAGCCCTGGCAAGAGCTCTGAAATCAGACCCGGCCAGCATGTGTCCCTGAATATCAGAATAGACACTATATTTACCCTGAAAAGCCCTTCAGTGTGTTCAGAGCTATAAATAGTCATTAGGGCCCAAGCAAGTGGCCTTAACACAAGGATTTCCTTCCAAAAATGCAGACCCATTTTAATTAAATTTGTAACTAACCTTTGGGAGGGCAGGCCCCGGATTCCGTTTGCTTTTGGACACACCGTGAGTAATTTCCTATTCATTGAGTGTTTGGGGATTAACATGGTCGCTTGGGTGTTTAGCTCGGAAGGAGCCCTCCGGGAGCTTGCACAGAGCCCGGCTCCCTGGAGAAGACACGTGGGTGCATGGCGAGTGCACCCTGTAGACTTGGGCCGCCTCCCTGCTCCCGGGGGTCTCATCAGAGTCTCTTTGCAAAGCCAAGTCCTTTCCCTGCCCCCCACTGCCCCCAGAACAAGATGGGAGTCACGGCTGTGTTTATCCTGCCTCTGCTGCTCCTGGGAATCAGTGGCCTTCTCTTCATCTACCAAGAGGTGTCCCGGCTGTGGTCAAAGTCAGCCGTGCAGAACAAAGTGGTGGTGCTCACCGATGCCATCTCAGGACTGGGCAAGGGTAAGCCAGCTCTGTCCCCACTGCGCCCACTCCTGACGTGAAGGACGAGAGATGGCAGGATGGCGTGTGGCCATCTGCTAGGCGGGGGGCGGGGGAAATCGAGGCTGTGTCCTCTCCCAGGGTCCATGGCTAACCAGCGAGTGTCTTCTCTTTTGGGGGCTATAGCTCCCTGTGCCCGAGAAACAAGGGGATCGGGAGAGCTGGGTTGGTTGCAAACTCACAGCCTGGGAGAGCTGGGTTGCAAACTCACAGCCTCAGGGCCAAAACTGATCAGCAGATGTCACTTGTTTTTGCGCTCATGGGGTTCCAGAAAATTTGAAATGCAAAGCCCTTGGATGGGGTGGCATATCAACTATGAGCCCAGACTTGGGTGCTGGGTGAAGTTCCAGGCTCTGTCACCTACTAGCTGGTGATTGCACTTCTCTGCTTTGGATTTCTCATCCAGGAAAGCAAGGACACTGGTAATGTCTCCCTCACAGGGTTGTTGGGAGGAATGAATGAATTCCTCGATGGAAAGCACGTAGAAGCCGTCAGGTGACTGTGATGGTCATAACGATGAGCAAATTCAGGCAGAGTGTGCCCAATGTGCTACACACCCCACCGATCCCCGCTGTATCGCAGTCAGGCTGATGACCTCAACCATATTACCTCCTGGCCTTGAAGGCAGTTAGGTTTGTGACCCCTGATTTAGACGGTCTCAGGGCACTTTTCTGCTGGTGGCATCTGTGACATGAGGGTAATAACTGTCCTTAGGTTTGTAAGACTCTGACCCTATCACTCCTAGCAATGTTTGTGTAGCCGCGTTTGGGATAACTTGGGCATCATTTTTGCTGTTGTTTGTGTTGTTTTTAATCAAGCATAGAACCCACATTGACAAACATTCATTAAGTCACTCAACAGGTATCCAAGGAGTCCATTATGTGCTGGGTATTGAGATGAACACTGTCCCTACTTTGAAGATGGGTTCTGTTCCAGGGGGTGATTGCTCCAGGCTCACCATGTGACATAAAAAACAAAGCACGGGGGCACCTGGGTGGCTCAGTCAGTTAAGCGTCCGAATTCAGCCCTAGTCATGGTCTCTTGCTTCGTGGGTTTGAACCCCGTATCGGGCTCTGTGCTGACAGCTCGGAGCCTGGAGCCTGCTTCGGATCCTCTGTCCTCCTCTTTCTCTGCCCCTCCCCTGCTCACGATCCATATCTCTCAAAAATAAGTAAACATTAAAAAAAAAATAAACCAAGCATGAGGCGGGTAAACTGGCCCTCCATGGAGCCCAGAAGCAATTCCCGAGGAGAACATTTTGCTGCATTAGACTCCATGCTCAAAACGGAGGAAGGATACAAGCTCCAGCTTCTACAGGGACAAGTCAGAGCACACACATTTGTCAACGAGATCAGATACAAGATGATGGGGACCAGTTGTTGCCCTGGGGAAATGGAACAGAAACACTCACCTAGAGACAGTCAGAGTCCGTGTTGGGGCAAACCTGTCCTTCAAACAGAATATGTCCGCATAGCATCAGGCCAGCCGCCAACAAGAGACCTCTTCATCAGGAAGCCTTCCTTGCCCCCTGCTCTTTCTTCTTGGGTGCTCCCCGAGGAACCAGCCTCTGGGCTCCCATGGCTCCTCATATGAACACCCCGCTATCCCCATACTCCTCACGCTGTGCCCTACACGTGCCTTTCTCAGCTGATCGGCCAGACCCAAGCTCCCTTATGGTGGAAACTGTGTGTGTTCCTAACCCCAGTGTCCCAGCACCTAGATCAAAGCTTGGTGCATAATAAGCACTCAAAAAAAAAAAAAAGTTTATTTAATAACTGCCTTTAAAAGTGGCCATCTTGGGGCACCTGGGTGGCTCAGTTGGTTAAGCGTCTGACTTCGTCTCAGGTCATGATCTCGCAGTTCATGGGTTTGAGGCCCGTGTTGGGCTCTATGCTGACAACTCGGAGCCTGGAGTCTGCTTCAGGTTCTGTGTCTCCTTCTCTCTCTCTCTGCCCATCCCCTGGCTCATGCTGTCTCTCAAAAATAAATAAAACATTGAAAAAAAAAAAAAGTAACCACCTTATGGGAAAGCACTCATTTGGATACGAGTATGTTGTCGTAGATTTGTCTTGTTGATTTTGGACTAGATTCCAACATGATCAGAGAACATATTTTGTATGATTTCGATTCTTTTAAATTTGTTGAGGTGTGCTTTACCACCCAAGACACGGCCCGTCTCCGTGAACAATACGCGGGTGTTTGAAAATGGTGTGCGTTCTGCCGTGGTTGGGAGGAGAGTCCCACAAAACGTCCATCAGACCCCACTGGTTGGTTGAGAAGGCTGTTCAGTCCTGTATCCTCTGAGAGGTATCTGTTTCAGTTGTCTTTTTAATTTGTTTTTTGGTTTTTTTTTTTTGAGTCTCATTCGGGTTATAGTGACCCCGTGTTCAACTTAGGGAATGGCATTTTCAGAGGAATTTGGTCTAGTCTCTGCCCTAACATCGGTGTCCTCTTGTGCTGTGTCTTAACGGACCCGCCCTGGAAAGAAATGCAAAGCTGGAAGAAAAAAAAGCAAGTCCAAATATTTAGAAGTAACCCGAGAAGCTGGGTGTGCGTGGCATCAAATAACACGCAGCTGACCGCAGCGGTTATGGGTTCAGGCTGCTCTGCTTTTCAGGTCTGAGGCAACAAAAATGTGACGGGCCCTGAGCGGACAGTGCAGGCTTTACGTGGCCCACAGCACAGCCTCGATCCCCTGGAACCCGACCAAGCCCGGCAGGTAGCCCCGGAGAGTTGCAAGGACCCAGTGCCACGCTGTGGACCAGGGAAATCGGACGAAGATCAGGACGTGTGAACCTGCCCCAAACCCCCACACGACTCAGCCAAGCTGGGAATCGGGTCACTTTGTGTGTGTGCGTTTTTTAATGTTTGTTTATTTTTGAGAGAGCAAAAGAGAGCATGGGTGGTGGAGGGACAGAGAGGGAGACAGAGAGAGAATCCCAAGCAGGCTCTGTGCTGTCATCACAGAGCCTGACGCAGGGCTTGAAGCCACAAACTGTGAGATCATGACCTGAGCTGAAATCAAGAGTCTGACTGAGCCACCCAGGCACCCCATGGGTCACTTTGTACCCACTGTGTCTTTGGCAAGAAGGACTCTCGAAATCCCTACACTCTGTGTGCCTCAAAGAGCTTGGCGCCCTGTGTTTCAGCATCTCTGAGGCGCGCCCCAAACGCTTCCAAAACTGAGCCTGCTTGCCTGTCGGTCGACAGCCCATTCCGACGGTCACAGGCCACCCTTTGGCATTTTCATCTCCCTGAAATCAGAAAGCATCTCCCCCCGGTGGCACCTTAGAGTCAAGGAGATGTGGAAGGAAAGGTGTGGCTCATATTTGCTGCGTGAAAAAGGAAAAGCCTGGAGAAACGTTGTGCTGAGCTGAGCTGATCCAGAATCAAAGCAAGAGAGCCTGAGCATAGCAGCTAGCACCTGCATTGGCAGAAATGACTTGTTTGGAAGGATGCCTTCGGGCTCGCTGTTCTGCAGTGATGAATGCATCCCTGGGCTGCAGCCTCCCCGGGCGCACCTGCGAGAGGCGAGGTTCCCTTGGAGGAGAGTGGGTGGGTGATAGTGAGGGCCCCTGGCCGCCTCTCCCAAGGAGGTCAAGGTCACAGGCCCCTCACCTGCCCCCATGCTCAGCTTGTAGATGTAGAGTGTGAGTGGGCGACAGAACCCTCCCCCCAGCCACATGTTCCTTTCTGGGAGGTGGGTCAAGAGGTGGAGAACAGGGTGCCCCCCCCCCCGCCCCAGGCATGTCCCTGGCTTCACCGCTTACCTGCTGCGGGACTGTGGGTGAATCATTTCTACTCACTGAATGTCACCTCTCAGGTTTGCAAAACACGGCCATCGTGGCTGCCCCACGCGTGGGGGAGAGACGGACCCTTCCCCGTGGTCCCAACAACTCAAGGTGACATTGTCCACACAGTTATTTCTTGATTCAGGTTTCCACCATTCAGAACTGCCCACCTCCTCCCCCTCCCCCTTGCCCGCTCTCCGCCACACCCAGCACACCTGTTTCTAGACCTCACTGGGACCTCCATCTGTCCTGCGTCCGTGCGTCTCTCCCGCTGAGACTGAAGGGTCCAGCACCGCAGCTGTCCTCCTCCAATACCACAATCCCCCTGCCCACGTGCCCGCCGATCAAACCCCGGCCGGCCCCCTTCTCTGCACCCGCACGCAACCCCGAAACCGCTTGGAGCCATTGCATTCCAGAAGCCAGTCTCCCGTGGGCACCCGGGGCGCCCAGGCATCCTCTGTCATGCTCGCTCGGTCCAGGCTCACCGCTGTGTGGTGTAAAACAGGGCGATAAGAGGTACTGAGCACCGCTAGTGGGTGTCTGGCGATGCCCTTCCCAGGTCCCTGTACGTGGCCAGGCTCTGTGAGTGTTGGCTGCCCGGCTCACACACTTGCCCTCTGCCAGTGGGCACTGCCTCCCCGGGGCCTTCCATGCCCTCTGCACCCAGCCCTGGAGGGAAGCTCGATCAGCACACTGAGTAGACACGAGCGTATAAAAGGCCGGCCCCTTGCCTCCAGGTGGGACAGCTCAGCAGTGGGGTGTACCCTCCAGAACTTTCCTCAGATCCAGCCAAGACTACGCTTTACCTGAGACCTTACTCCCCGATGGATTTTTCTCTGACGGGCACTCCTGGCTGCCTGAGTCCCTGTCTCTGATTCTGTTTCTGGGAGACCCACGCAGGAGCCTTTCCAATATCTTTAGGTTAAGATCGGTCAAGGGCTTTGATCCTGGGGGGGTAGGTGGATAGGGTCACCTTTCTGTCCAGCTTAGGGAACAATCTTCTCATAATCAGAACCATCCCACAAAGGATAGGCTATTTCACTCCACTCCAAGCTCCCCTTCACGGGAGGTAACCATGCTGAGGCCGGAAAGGGAAGATAAAAAATTCCAGCCCTGGGAGGAAGTTGAATGAAATGACCTCCAAAGGATTTCAATGGCCCACGGACTTTGGAATCCTTTGAAATCCTGAATTTGTAAGAGAGACGCTCATCATCAGTGGCTCCATCCACACAGTGCGCCCTGCCCTCTTTCCTTCTTCCCCACAGAGTGTGCTCGGGTGTTCCACGCTGGTGGGGCGAGGCTGGTGCTGTGTGGGAAGAACTGGGAGAGGCTAGAGACCCTGTATGATGCCCTGATCAGCGTGGCTGACCCCAGCAAGGTAAGGGCTTCTAGCAGCTGGCTTGGGGATGCCCTTGGGCACCCTTAACCTTCACTGTTTTTTTTTGTTGTTGTTGTTGTTGTTGTTTTGTTTTGTTTTGTTTTTTAGCAGCTCTTTGACCAGGTGGGTGAAATTTGGTGATTGTTTTGGGAGGCAGCTGTCTCACTAACCTTGAAACAGGTTGTCTGCCACTCGTCTTGACCATTCTTGCCAAGGATTTGCTCACCCTCCCCACCCCCTGTTATATTTAAGCCAGAGTCCACGAGGACCCAGAAGCTAGAGCATGACACCCGTATGGGAGTGATTATAAACTCTTAGGGCTGATTTTTCTAAATAAAATCTCAGGGGCGCCCGGCGTGCTCGGTCTGCAGAGCGTGGGACTCCTGATCTCGGGGTTCTGAACTCGAGCCCCATGTTGGGTGTAGAGATTACTTAAAAATAAAATCTTTAGGGGTGCCTGGGTGGCTCAGTCAGTGAAGCATCCGACTTTGGCTCAGGCCATGATCTCATTTTGTGGGTTTGAGCCCTGCGTCGGTCGGGCTCTGTGCTGACAGCTAGGAGCCCGGAGCCTGCTTCGGATTCTGTGTCTCCCTCTCTCTCTGCCCCTCCCCTGCTTGCGCTCCGTCTCTCTCAAAAATAAACATTAAAAACATAAAATCTTTAAAAAGGGAAATAATACCTCAAATGATATTTCTGTGAAGGAAATCAGGGAAGTGAAGTCACCTTCTAAGAAGCCACCGGGAGGTGAATACTTTCCAGGAGGCTGTGGTTTTCACAGTGTTTCTGGAGCACTGCCTTCAGTGCTCTCTTCATGGTTTGTGGGTTTTTGTTTTGTTTTGTTTTGTG